TTCGCCCTGACACACATACCGTAAGCCCCCGGATAGAAGGGCAGGCCTCGGATAAGCGCCGGGGCTTATAAAAGGATGAGGGCGCTTATATCCGCTCCTCGATTATAAGCGCATGCTTCGAGCCTTACGGATTATAAGCGCACCCCTACTACCTTACACATTATAAGCGCCACCATTTAAAAATTGGATTTTTAAGTTTTAAGCTGTTACAATTAGTATCCTACTGCTATACTACGTTTTCTATAAATATCCGACTACATCTTCGCATTTTCTACATTTTCTACCACATTTTCACGTCCTACACATTTCTACTCTACCTACACAACCTAGGCATCCTCCTCAACAGTGGCGGTGCCTTCGTCGGCGGTCTCACCGTCCGACTCTGGCTCGTCTACGTTGTTGCAGCAGAATCCATCTGCTGCAATCTCGTCGTCAAGATCCACTTCGCCTTTGACGGCGTCCCGCCGGTGCTGCAGGCAGAGACCGTCCTGAGACCCGTCCAAGGCGTTACTGATGCCGCAGGTCAGAAATGAGCGCTCAATCAACTCCTTGGGCACCGCCTTCCAGGCCTTGGAGATCCACTTGAGCGTCAGCTCTGGTGGTGGCTTGCGGATGTTGCCTGCCACACGTAGAAAGATTCATCAGTTAGAATAAGGTCAATAATTGAAAAACAATCAGTCCTAGATCTTAAATCTCACCTCTTTCAGTCAGGCAGTCAACACCCTCGCTCTTGAACCATTTCTGGTACTGTTGTCGCACAGCTGCTTTGAAGGAGCGGTTCACCGCGACGTCCAACGGCTGCACCTCCGATGTGCAGCCAGCTGTGTTGAGGTACTAGGAAGGCTTAGGAGCCATAGCTAGTAGGTCGAGTAGTTGAGTTCGAGTGAGTTTGGGTGAGTCGAGAAGATTGCAACAAAAGGGTGGTTTCACTATAGAGCGAGCAGTACAAATAGGCAAGAATGAAGAAAGGTGCACCACCAAACAGAATGTTAGATGACTACAGTAGTCTACACTACAGGCAGTTACAAAACAATATATAGAATTATATATTATTCTGACACTCCCCCATAAGTGCCTGTAGGGAAGAATGTGCAGTCAACGCCCCCATAATGGGTTACACGAGGCAGAGTGCGCAGCAGAACGGGAGAGGGCAGGCAAGGAGGAGGAGAGAGAGAGGGAGAGAGAGGAGAGGAGGTGGTAGGTTCTGGTTGGTCACCCCCTACATCCCCTCACCCTCCCCCTCCCCCCCACACTGCTGCAGGAGCAGCAGAGGGGGGCAAACGGAGGAGGATGGGAAGGGGAGACCACACATCTGTCAGAATTAGAAGGAAGAAAGAGGATTGAACTAGCAAGAATGAGGATACAAATAGCAAACCCTAGAAGGGTTGTACTCGCTATAGAGCACCCCACTACAGGCTAGAACAATAAGATAATATTCTGACACACCCCCATAGCCAAAGTGGGGTGTAATCAGCAGAGCAGGCAAAGCAAAACAAGCTCAGGGTGGATCACAATGTCACCACACATTCTGAGCACAAGTTAAAGAAGAAATAGTTTAGAGTTTACAATTATAAGCAAAGCTAGTGGTAGTCACAACGGGCAAGTGAGGAGGAGGAGGGAGAGTGAGGGGAGAGGAGACAGGAGGCGACGGCTGAAGCTGCAGACACACGGGCAACAGGAGGCAGACTGGCACAGCGGCTACCGGACAGCGCCCGGACTACAGGGGTAACAGGCCCCGCGGCTCAAATAGCGGCGGACGGGCAACGGACCCACGGGCGGCTGGCACAGCTGGCTACGACTGGGCTACCGGGACAGCGCCCCGGACTACAGGTGCTGCTGACGACAAACTGGCAACCTCCGCTCATCCTCCCGCACACAGTCCCACCCCCCTGATACACACCCACTGCTACACCACTAGCTCTACTCCCACGCACCCCCCTAAAACCCTAAACCCCAGTCTCCCACACAACCACCCCCCTCAGCGACAGCTGCAGCAGTGGGAGACGAAGGAGGAGGAGGAGAAAGGGAGGAAGGCACACCGGCCACCCCCATACCCGCCACCCCACAGCTCGCCCCTCCCGTCGTCCGAGCGGCCCCCTCAGGAGCCGCGACAGGCGACGGGAAATGGGGGGGAGGGGGGGTGTGGAGGAAAGGGCCCACCACGGACCTGATTGGAGGGCGGGGCCGCGACATTCGGGGCGGGGCCGCGACAGTCGGGGCGGGGCCGCGACATAGGGCGGGGCCGCGACGAGGGGCGGGGCCGCGACGTAGGGCGGGGCCGCTTCGAGGGGCGGGGCCGCGACGCAGGGCGGGGCCGCATCGAAGGGCGGGGCCGCGACAGGTCGGCGGCGGGGCCGCGACGTAGGGCGAGACCGCGACGTAGGGCCGGGCCGCGACAGTAGGGCGGGGCCGCGACGAGGGCGGGGCCGCGACGGTCGGGGCGGGGCCGCGACATAGGGCGGGGCCGCGACGTAGGGCGGGGCCGCGTCGAGGGGCGGGGCCGCGACGGTCGGGGCAGGGCCGCGACGTAGGGCAGAAGCCCGCCGCGCGCCTCGGGGCGCACAGCGGGCAAAGAACCGCCGCGCGCCTCGGGGCGCACGGCGGGCAGAAAACCGCCGCGCGCCTCGGGACGCACGGCGGGAGGAAAGAGAAGCAGCGGAAGCGAGGTGGTAACCCACCCACAGGATCGATCCAAGGGGATCGACCTGCTCTGATACCATGTCAGAATTAGAAGGAAGAAAGAGGATTGAACTAGCAAGAATGAGGATACAAATAGCAAACCCTAGAAGGGTTGTACTCGCTATAGAGCACCCCACTACAGGCTAGAACAATAAGATAATATTCTGACAACATCACCCATCACCCCCACACCCGCCACCCCCAGTCTCTCCCCGGGCTCCCCCACACCCTCACATTTTTTTTTTTTTTTTTTTTTTTTGCAACAAAAGAGTGGTTTCATTATAGAGCGAGCAGTACAAATAGGCAAGAATGAAGAAAGGTGCACCACCAAACAGAAAGTTAGATGACTACAGTAGTCTACACTACAGGCAGTTACAAAACAATATATAGAATTATATATTATTCTGACAAGCTGGTATGATGGCCGGCACGATACGCAACTCGCCGAATTTTGCCCTCACTTGATCAGACAGGTGCCCACGGTAGGAGTCAAGCACCAGCATCGCCCTCCTGGTGCGCACTCCGAACCTCGGGTTGACGTACGGGCCCACCGTACCGTCGAGCCACGCGAGGATGCCGTCCGCGTCTATCCAACCGTTGGGATGTGCGGCGACCACGACATCTGCACATCCGCACAACGTTGAGATTGACATCAGTAAAAAAAAAACAACACATGCAAATCCTACCGGGACTGCACAAGCTGCTCGGCTTACCGGAGGGGAAATTCCCCTTTGGAACTGTCTTGCGCTTAAAGAACACCCAGGGCTTGAGCTTCTCGCCGCTGGCGGTGCAGGCGAGCATCACCGTCACGCGTTCCTTTTGATAGCCGCCGCTGCGGATGGGCACGGAGCGGACCCCCACCTCCTCGACAGTGCGTTCAGCTGGCATTTCGAGCCAGAGCGGGGTCTGATCCGCATTAATGATCCAGCGGTTGTCGATTCCGTACTGTCGGCGGGTGTGTCGCACGAACTTCCAGAAGTTCCGCACCTGCGTCTCGCACTCTGGAAGGGACGGGGAGGCAAAAACCATAAAAAAACATTAGCACATCGACCGGTTGGCAAAGGGGATAAACAAGAGCGAAGACAACAACACCCACTCACCGGAGGAAGAAGCATGGTAGGGCAAAGAATGGTAGGGCAAAGCATGGTAGGGCAAAGCATGGTAGGGCAAAGCATGGTAGGGCAAAGCATGGTAGGGCGAAGCATGGTGGGGCAAAGCATGGTAGGGCGAAGCATGGTAGGGCGAAGCATGGTAGGGCGAAGCATGGTAGGGCAAATCATGGTAGGGCGAAGCATGGTAGGGCAAAGCATGGTGGGGCAAAGCATGGTAGGGCGAAGCATGGTAGGGCAAAGCATGGTAGGGCAAAGCATGGTAGGGCAAAGCATGGTAGGGCAAAGCATGGTGGGGCAAAGCATGGTATGGCGAAGCATGGTAGGGCAAAGCATGGTAGGGCAAAGCATGGTAGGGCGAAGCATGGTAGGGCAAAGCATGGTAAGGCGAAGCATGGTAGGGCAAAGCATGGTAGGGCAAAGCATGGTAGGGCGAAGCATGGTAGGGCAAAGCATGGTAAGGCGAAGCATGGTAGGGCAAAGCATGGTGGGGCAAAGCATGGTGGGGCAAAGCATGGTGGAGTGGCACGTGGTGAAAGGAAGGAGTGGGGTTGAAGAGGAAGTGCAATGCATGGCAGCACATGGCAGCACATGGCAGCACATGGCAGCACATGGCAGCACATGGCAGCACATGGCAGCACATGGCAGCACATGGCAGCACATGGCAGCACATGGCAGCACATGGCAGCACATGGCAGCACATGGCAGCACATGGCAGCACATGGCAACACATGGCAGCACATGGCAGCACATGGCAGCACAGGGCAGCACAGGGCAGCACATGGCAACACATGGCAGCACATGGCAGCACATGGCAGCACATGGCAGCACATGGCAGCACATGGCAGCACATGGCAGCACATGGCAGCACATGGCAGCACATGGCAGCACATGGCAGCACATGGCAGCACATGGCAGCACGTGGCAGCACATGGCAGCACATGGCAGCACGTGGCAGCACATGGCAGCACATGGCAGCACATGGCAGCACATGGCAGCACGTGGCAGCACATGGAAGCACATGGCAGCACGTGGCAGCACGTGGCAGCACATACACGATGCATTCTAAGTCTGATTCAGAAGTCAATTGCATACAGGATGGAAGTTAGAGTGGGACACGGAAAACTCACAGGCTGGACGTAGTTGAAGGCAGAGCAAGCCGGAAAATACTCCTTCACATTCACGTACTTTGTACTGATAACCTTGGAGCAATCAATACCCTGGGGGGGAGGGAGAGTGAGAGAGGGAGGGGAAGAGTGAGAGAGAGAGAGGGTGAGTGAGAGGGTAGGGGTGATAGGTTGAGAGTGAGGAAGGGGTTGAGAGTGAGGTATGGGGCGAGAGAGAGGGAGGGGGTGTGAAAGTGGGAGGGGGTGAGAGAGAGGGAGGGGGCGAGAGAGAGGGAAGGGGTGAGAGAGAGGGAGGGGGTGAGAGAGAGGGAAGGGATGAGAGTGAGGAAGGGAGTGAGAGAGAGGGATGGAGTGAGAGAGAGGGACGGGGTGAGAGAGAGAGAGACGGGGTGAGAGAGAGGGATGGGGTGAGCGAGAGAGACGGGGTGAGAGAGAGAGACGGGGTGAGAGAGAGTGAAGGGGTGCAAGAGAGGGAGGGGGTGAGAGAGAGGAAGAGGGTGAGAGAGAGAGATGGTTTCAATGAAAGGAAGGGGGTGAGTGAATGATTGTGAAGAAGCGGCAGAGACATGCAGAATTGATATGATTTGACGTAACATGGTGCCACATGGTGCATGAATGACTCTAATGTCCCCAACATCCTCAACGCAAAATAGTGCCACGGTGCCACATGGTGAGTGAATGACTCTAATGCCCCCAACGTGCCCAGCGTGCATGTCACGGGACTCACGGGGTTCATGCCCACGAATTCCTTCAGCGTGAGCCCAAACATGGAGTACACGTCCTTGCACGTCCAGTCATCGCCAGTGACCTCTTGCACCTCACGAGACTCTGACACCCTAGCTGCACACCCTAACAACCGAGAAGACGCGACATGCATAGATAGCTAGGTGATTTCTGAGTCAACTCAAGAAGCACCTCCATTCATCGCCAGTGGCCTCTTGAATTTTACGACACTCTGAAGCTCAAGCTGCACACGCACAATAGAAATGGTGAAGACATGCATGCATAGATAGCTAGGTGACTTTGAGTCGACTCAAAAGGCACCTCCAGTCATCGCTATTGGCTTTTTCAACCTCACAAGACCCCGAAGCCCTAGCTGCACACGATCAACAACAATTATGAAAGGTCTCAAAACTATTGTCCGTCACGACAGCAGCACACAACCGTGACAATTCTTCTGGTAGCAGAGAGAGCAAGCTTACCACAACCACCGGAATTCTTCTGGTACTTGGGCGGGAAGATGAACGTAAATCTCTGGGTGCCAGTGCAGAAGCATGAGCCCACCTTGCAAGGGCTCAGCAGCGAGAGCAAGCTTACCACAACCGTTGGAAGTCTGTTGGTACTTGGGCGGGCAGATGCATGTGAAGGAGCTCCGGGCACGGCTGTCGAAGCACGCGCCCGCCTGGCACTGGTTCTGCCTGTAGCTTCCACATGGGCCCGCTGAAAGGGACCATCGAAGGGTCAAACGAAGGAAGCAGAGGATAGATCTGAGGTTTTAGATTTTTGAGTCCACTCAAAAGTCAGCTGCTGTCGAAGCACGAGCCTGCCTGGCACGGGTTCTGCCGGTACATGCCACATATGCCCGCTGACGAGGGACCAACGAAGGCAGCAGAGGATAGCACTGGAGGGGTTAGCAGTGGAGTGGCGCGGAGGATAGAAAGGGGGGTGTGCAATAACAAGGATTCCCGTTCCATTGAGCACAGCGGCCCACTGGAGAGGGACCAACGACGGCAGCAGAGGATAGCAGTGGAGGGGATAGCAGTGGAGGGGATAGCAGTGGAGGGGATAGCAGTGGAGGGGATAGCAGTGGAGGGGATAGCAGTGGAGGGGATAGCAGTGGAGGGGATAGCAGTGGAGGGGTTAGCAGTGGAGGGGATAGCAGTGGAGGGGGATGCGTGGGGCAGGCCGGAAGGCGGCGCAGAGGAGAAGAGGAGCATAGCATTAGGCAGTATTGAAAAGCTATTGATCCGACAGCGAGCTTCTCTTGAGCGCAAGTGACGCCAGCTCCCCACCGGTAGCGGGACGGGGAACAAATAGATTGGGGCTTACTGGTTATCCTCTTTAAGCCGGGGTACTCAGAAGGAGCTGACGTGGCACCAGCAAGTGTTGTGTTGTCGCTGGCAGGTGTGGTGGTGTCGCCGGCAGGGGTGGTGGTGGTGGCAGGTGTGGTGGTGTCACCAACAGGTGCGGTGGTGGTGGCAGGTGTTGTGTTATCGCCAGCAGGTGTTGTGGCGTCGCCGGCAGCTGCGATAGTATCGCTGGCAGGTGTGGTGGTATCGCCAGCAGGTGTTGTGTTGTCGCCGCCAGGTGCACTGGTGTCGCTGGTGGGTGTCGAGGTGGTGCTGGCAGGTGTTGTGGTAACGACGCCACCAGTGATGCAGCGCGCGGAGATAAAAGCGTTGCCAAGGGGCTTGGACCTGGGCACGGGGAGGGCAAGGCACGGGGAGGGCAAGGCACGGGGAGGGCTTTTGAGTCGACTCAAAAGTCCGCAAGGCACGGGGAGGGCAGCATGAGAGCAGGTCGTTGGTCATGTGGGGTTTGAACGAGCGGCTTCGGGAGCAGGGAATTAGTGAGAGTGAGTGTGAGGGTGAGAGTGAGTGTGAGGGTGAGAGTGAGAGTGAGGGTGAGACTGAGAGTGAGAGTGAGGGTGTAAGTGAGAGTGAAAGTGAGGGTGCGAGTAGCATCAAACGCTCACCTCTGCTGACCATACACGAGAGAGCCGAATGCCCTTCCACTGCAGCTGGAACCGCGGAAGAACAGAATCTTGTCGCAAGCAGCGTTGCCATCCTGCTGTCACGCCACCTGCACCTTCAAGGACCCGCCGCCCAGGCTGGGCACAATGGCGACACAGCGGCGCGAGTTGAAGGCATAAGAGAGGCCGTTGACCTTCACGCGCGTGCCCACCAGGGCTGCCGCGCTCGCCGCCGGAGCAGGTGCTGCGACTGTGGGAATGGGACACGTGGGGTGGGGGGCGCATGGAGGGGGGCGGTGTGTGCGGCATTGGGGGACCGACCATGAAGATGCGAGTGAGCAAGCCAAGTTTGGGCCTTTGTCGCTGTGCGAGGTGCATGCTGACTATGCGAGCAAATGAGCATGCGAGCGCAGGAGAACACACGATGCGTACCCGCGATGACGACCACGACGGCGAGCAGAGCAGCCGTGACGGCCTTGCGAGTTGGAGTCCCCATCATGCTGGTGAATCTTCACCCTGTGCGGCGGTACAGGCAATTTTCAAGGCCCCTTCAAAATTGCTGAATCTTCACCCTATGTGGCGGTACAGGCTCGAGCTGACGTTGCTGGGCTCGCGAGAGGCGCCGAGCAGACGCGGCGGGGCTCGGGGAGCAGATGATGTCACAATGCAGGTGCTTATGCACGCCTCTGGATCTTCACCCTTGCGCGGCGGTACAGGCTCAAGCGACGTTGCTGGGCTCGCGAGAGACGCGCCGCAGGGAGATTGCTGCTACCGTGACGCGGCTGGGAAGAGCAGAAGATGTCGGAATGCACTAGTCGGAGGGAGGAGTGGTAGGAAAAGAGTGAAACCGCACGGGCGGTGATGCTACCGGTTGTAACAGACTAGGCGGTGAAGACCCGGTAATGAGCCACGGTATAGACGAAGTGTGCTTAAATGGTCATCGCCACGTCACGCTAGCAAGTGCACTCCGAGTGAGCCGTTGCCTCACTCGTCGCCTGACGACGCCGCGCATGATCCGCCTGGCGTGCGGCGGCGCAGCGGGTGTGACGCGCACGGTGCCCGTGAAGAGCTCGAGCGCACGCGGGTGATGCAGCGACAGCGCACGGCGAGCGAGGGCGCCGTGACGCAGCGGGTATAGGGTGACGGGCACGGTGCCCCATAACGAGCGCGAGCGTGCCTATGACGAGCGCGAGCGTGCCCATGGCGCGCGCGAGTGCTTTCGCCGTGGCCGACGGCTGCGGAAGTCATTCCTGGGAGAACGCGATCCTGTCCTCTCCAGCCAATGTGGCTTCGAGTGATATCTGTGGATTTGGAGTGGTGTTATTGGGGTTCCAGCCAATGAGGTATAACCGCTAGGAACGTGTTCCGGGACAGACCCCATTTATATGTTAATGGCCGTACCTCCTCTCCGGCTGACCGGGATCAAATCTCGGTACAATTTCGATCACAAACTTAGTCGATTTTACTAGTCGATGTGACACGTGATTGAGGGGCCACATGTGGACTGACGACCCTCCTCTCCGGCTGACACTAGGAAAATCTGACGGCTTTTTGCAAGATAGAAACGCGTTCCTGGAAAACGCCCGAACCTCGTGTGACTGACAGCTCACGCCTATCCAATTGAAACAAACTCAATTATTGAAGCGATTGAGAAACACGACCCTCGAGAACTGGGTTCAGTTGCCTGAAATTCGACAATTCTTCGTTAGAAACGAGTTGCAGGGCGTAGAACATGGCATAGAGCCCATTTACTTTATGATACATCAATCTGTTGAACTATAATAGCATCATTAATACATACTGCCTAATTCCACCAACAATCCTACGTGACATAGCGTTCTCGACCCTGTTTCTCTATCAGTGCAGCAGCATGGGCAGTGTGGACGGACGGTTGGTTATGCTGCCAAGGAGCGGGAGAGGAGGAAAGCGGTGGTCTACCATCCTTTTCTGCAGCGGCACAAAGGGGTTCGTTTCGTCCCGTTGATTCTTGAGACTTGGGGCTGCTTGGGAGGAAGTTTCTGTCAGTGGTTGCGACAGCAAGGGGATGTTCATCTAAAGGTTGCACTAAACAAAGGGGTGGGAAGGGGCAACAGCATGGGATTCACAACATACTTGGTGGGATCTTTGACGGCCGCGGTGGGGGTAGCTTTGCATAAGGCACAGGCTCGGGTGATCTTATTGCAGGCAGCTTATATGCTAGGGGAGGCCGAGGCAGACTGGGTGGATCGGAGGGGTGAGGAGCAGGAGATTGGGGGGGGGGTGCCATGGGTGGATTTGCAATACCGTCATCACCCGGATATAAGACACTGTTGAATAGTAGACAGGGGTTGAATATTATACGGGTGTCTCTTATAAACAGGCTGCAGAGATCAGAAGTTGATCGTAGCCCAGGATCTACTCTGGTAGGTTCGCACGCAGTGAGGTAGTGTTGGTGGGCCCTTGTCCTCAATAGCAGAGTGAATGTAAAATGCTTGAGATAATAAAAACATGCAAATACAACGATATAAATATGAGTGCAAGGGAATTCGAAACGACCTGACTAGCCACGTACTCTAAGGGGTACATTCCCTTATTCAAGTGCATCCCAACCGTTCGGCGCGTACAGTTTCGTAACTGTTCCCGCAAAAACCATCCTGCCTGCAGCTGTCCGATGCCGTTTGCTTCCGACGGTTCAGATGTGCTGTAACCGTCCGACTCTTTGACTCAATTCCAACCGTCTGACGCTTGCGTTCGTTCCCGATATTGTGCGTTCCTTGCTACGGTGAGGAGTGCTTAGTAATATCGGATATTACTATTCATAACACCCCCCTTCACTGCTGGCCGTAGCTTGGCTTGACCTGCCTGACCACGCCGCTGAGTTCGGAGCAGTGCTGATACTGCTGGCGTGGCAGTCGCTTCGTGAGGAAGTCTGCTGCCATGTCACCTGTTGGGCAGTAGGTCAAGTTGACTTTGCCTTTGTCTACTTCGTCCTTCACGAAGAAGTACCGCAGCGCAATGTGCTTGGTGCGGTTAACGAAACCAGGCTTGTTCGCGATGCGAATCGCGCCCTTGTTGTCGCAGTGAAGACGAAATGTCGGCGAAGCTGGAATTTTCGCTTCTTGCAGGAGTTCCTGCAGAAAGAGGCCTTCGCGAACTGCTGCGGTTGCTGCGATGAATTCCGCTTCCGCTGATGACAGGGCCACCAACTCCTGCTTCTGTGAGTTCCAGGAGATTGGTCCCGTAGGCTCGAGTCGGAACAGGAACCCGGTCCTGGACCGTCGATTATCGGGATCTGCTGCGTGATCGGCGTCCACATAGCCGGTGAGGTTGAAGGATGGGGTTGGTGCAGTTGAGTAACGCAGCCCAATCTTGGGCGTTGAAACGAAGTATTGGAGAGCGCGCTGCAGGTCCAGAAGATTTTCAGCCGTTGGTTTGCGTGAGTACTGCGCCAGCTGACTTGCGATGTACGAGAGGTCTGGCCTGCAGGTGACAAAGGCGAAGAGGAGGCATCCCAACTGCTGTTGGTAAGTCTGAATCCCAGCGGGGGATAGGGCTTTGGCGTCGGGTTTGTAGTTCGGTCCGGGAGTTCGGTAGGGAGTTGAGAGAGGTGCAGATGAAATGTTGAACCGCTTCCCTAACTCCTCTGCAAACTTAGCCGCTGAAAGGTGAATGGCTTCAGGCGCGTAGGTGATGTTGAGGCCTAGGAACTGCTTAACCTCGTGGTTGCATGCGATGTTGACGCGCCGCGCCAAAGCCTTTTCGAACTGCTGGAGGAGCTCGTTGTTTGAGCCTGTGTAAAGCAAGTCGTCGATGTACACAGTGAGGAGGATGTATTCCCCGCGAAAATCGTGGCGGTACATCCCTTGATTGTGTGGCATTTGCTTGAACCCGATTTCAAGCAGGATGTTATGCAGGTACTGCTGCCACAGCCTTGGGGCCTGCTTGATCCCGTAGAGTGACTTGCGCAGCTGACATACGCGCGAGTCTCCTTCGCCGTAGGTGTGTGGCTGTTCCACGTAGATCACGGCGTCTACTAACGCGTACAGGAACGCGTTCTTCACGTCGATCTGACGGAGTGGCAGGTGCCTTGCAGCTGCGATGGCGAGCAGGATGCGGACGGAGGTGTGGCGGCTGACTGGGGCGAACGTCTGGTCGAAGTCGATCCCATGCCTCTGGTCATAGCCGCGAACCACCCAGCGTGCTTTGAAGCGCTCGATCGTCCCATCCGCTGCGGTTTTTACGCGGAAAATCCACTTCTTCGAGAGGATTCTTGTGCCTTTGATCGCTGCGCGGTCGACGAGCACCCAGGTGTCGCGTGACTCCAGTGCCTTGATTTCCATGTCCATCGCCTCACGCCACTCCTTGCTGTGTGGTCCAGAGAGTGCTTCGCGCGGGTTTCGGGGCTCGATGATGCGTGGTGCCTGCGATGTTGCGGTGTGGAGTCCGAGCAGCTGCAGCCCTGAGATGGTGCTGTCGTGGCGACGTTGCGGGATGACTTCCTGCACATCATCGTCGTCATTCTCTGGTTCAGGTGCTGGCGATGTTGCGCCTCTGCCGCTTCCACCTGTTCCGCCTCCGCCTGTTCCTCTTCCTGAGGAATCATCGTCGTCGTCGTCGTCGCTGCGCCGGTTTTCCCATGCGAAATCCCCCCTTGTGTCCTGCTCCAAGATTGCTGCAGCGGCTTCGTCTTCGGGCGTTGCGTAGCTGTGGCCGTCGTTGGCGTAGATCCGATTCGCATTTGTCTGCTCGTTGCGGCGGAACTGGTCGAGGAAGAGACGCTCGTAGAAGATGACGTCGCGAGCGTGAGTGGTTTTCTGGCTGAGGAGGTCTAGCACGATCCACGCCTTGTGCTCGTGTCTGATGCCGAGGTGGATTCCCCAGCGTGCGTGGCTGGCGAACTTGCCGATGGTTGAGGTCGACGGGCGGTATTGAACCATGCACCCCCATACCCGGAGCATGGAGGTGTCCCCTTTGGTTCCACTCCATTTGACGTGCGGGGACAGGTTGCCGGTGATTGCGGTGGTTGAAAGCAGGTTGTGCACCCGCACGGCGTGGTGCATCGCGTAGGTCCAGTAGATCGGCGGCAATTTCGACTGCTTCATCAGCGCGCGCACCTTCGTCATCAGTGTGCGATTGGTCCGCTCGGCTACGCCCTGCTGCTGGTGCGTGTAGGGGAGAGAAATGTGGTGCTCGATCCCCTTATGTGTCAGGAAGGTCTTCATCTGGTTGCTCCTGAATTCTGCCGCGCCGTCAGATTGCCAGATCTTGAGTTTCTTCCCGGATTGCCTCTCCGCATGCGCTTGCCAAAGCCAAAATACTTCGTATGCTCTGTCGCGCGTCTCCACATTCACGACCCACACGTAGCGCGTGCCGGCATCGATGAAGGTAAGTGTGTACATTTCGTCTTCGACTCCGCAATG